CCAATGCAGTGACAGTGGGCATGGGAGCACTGAGAGATGTCCCAATGATCACCTCTCTGCCTCTCCCAGACAGCAGTCTTACTCCTCCCCATGGTCAGGATCAATCCTCCCTCTAGTGTGACAGCTACTTTTTTGCCTGCCAGCCTACTGGCATGAGGACAAAGTGATAGGGCTCTCATTCTACTAGGGGAAGAGTCTGGGTGGGGCAAGGAAGAAAGATGGAATTCACCTAAGGACTGACGCAGTTCAGTAGTGGGACAGTCATAGAACAAGCGGGTATGCTATAGAAATAGCATATGCCATTGGTTGAACAGCCTCTTTTTGGCTGCCGACTATACAAATTAAGGAGTTAAATGAAAATTTGAACTCTGAATTCCCTGTTGTCCTGGATTTGCAGAGCTCTGGCCATATGAAAAACCACAAACTGAGAATAAGCTTTTTGCCTCATAGGCAACCGAGGAAAAGCCTCTGGACAGACCCCAGAGAGCTACAGGCCCCCCTCAAGCCTCTCTTTAGGCACCCACCCCCCGACCCCCCCGTCAGATCCCCAGGGTTTTGAAGGTGGCAAATGGGTTATCTAGTATAGTACATAAGGGTTGTTTCTTTGCTAACTTTTGTGACATTTCCTTTTTTGGCCTAAATAAATTATTTGCTTTYATCATTATTATTATGATTCAAAATTATTTCATGCCCTCTTGTAAATTGATGAATAAAATAAGTTCTAGCAAACAGTTCTTTCTAGTGAGATTGTGGGTTATTTTGGATATCTAACCAGCTAGCTTGATTTTTTTTTTTCTGGTTACAAAAAGGAATACACATTCAGGCTGTCAAAAACAGGAAATAGAGAAAAGTACAGATAAAGATTCAAACTGGATATAACCACTATATAAATCTTTCCAACTTTGTGTCCATAGAAATGCATGCTTTTTAAAAAATGGAACCATACTAATGTTTGCATGGCTTTATATTTTAGTCTTATTGAAAAATTCCCATTGAATCTGATGAAATGGGCAAGGCTTAGACTAGACCCAATGAGACATGTCAGCTTGTCCTTCACCCTTACCCCCACCATTGGGCTTCTTCCAACACTGAATATCCAAGGAAACTGGTTTCTGAGCTAGGAAGTGATTTCCTAGCTGGGACGTTTCTTTGATCTCAGCTTAAAGCAGCTCTAAAACTCTAAGGCTKCCAACTCAAACTGCCCTACAAACTGAAAAGAACTTTGACAACAGAAAATACACTTGGAGGGAAAAATGTGCCTTGAGACTATGAGGAATCTGAAAGCAATTAACTGAATGCTTAGGAATGATTTGCTTCCTCTTAGCCAAAGACCATTAGCAAATAAAATAGATGCTTCAGCTGTRGACTAGTCTGGATTGATTGATTGACCTACATTTGCACTCTGGGCTGCCAAACAAAAGATCCTAATCCAGCCTAGTACCCTGGAAACATTCTGGCACCCTCTCCTCTGTGAGCTCTGGAAAGTGAGTAGTATGATCAGGCAGAAGGTGACTCATGAGTTAAACCCTAGAAGACAGAAACCTTGGTTAGCAGCACAGCATAATCCTGAGGTTTTACAGACCCAGGCTCAAGACCATCTCCATCTTTTTGAATAAATTGTTTAGCCTCTTTGGGCTTAAGTTCTTTTTATTGTTTATTTTACAAAATGTAGACACACATTAAATGAGATTAAGAGATTAAATGAGATGAAGCTTTTAGGCTGTGCCCAGTTTTCTGTTAGTATATGATCATTAGCACCTACTTACTGTACATCCAGGGAAGGGAATGGAAGGTCAGCGGCTCAGGTACTGCCTTAGGGCAGCTCACCACCATTCCCAGACCCCCAGGAGAAAATAATGTGCTTTCATTCATGTGATAGAGATGATGCTTTAATGGTTGTGCCTAATTGTAAGGAATAGAGAAAAATCTAGTTTGGAAGAGAATAGAATAGAATTTACTCATTTAATATCTTCACGGTATTAGTTGCCGCTGAACTAGCAGGATCTATATTGGTCCGTTAGTGCCATCCAGTGTTCAGCAAGGGAAAGGCCATGATTTTGCCTTGGAAGTCTATAATTTACCAAAAAATGTGTTTTCTGATGAGGATAACTTAATCTCACTAATAGGTTCTCTTGTTCATAAGTTTCATTCAATTTTCTTAAGCAAAATCAAAACCTTGGAATTCTAAACACTAAATGGTAAAACTAGATTCATGCAGGGTTTATGTGATGTGAGCTATGAAGATCATCCAAGAGTGGAAAAGACACTACTCCCCAGACCTTATCAGCATGAATTTTCATGGGCCACCTTTTCCACTCTTGTTGTCCTTCCCCACCCACACTCTTTAGATGTATTCTGCTACATGAACTGGGAGGGCCTTGGAGGCTTAGGGAACATTGACCCAACACATTGCAGGACCTCAGCTGGGACTAGTCACTCTATGCATTTTCCAAGAAGGAACATATCACTTAAATTTTTGCTGTAATCAAATTGAATATTTGTCAAGATCCAGTGTGTTGGTTTGGTTCTTCAGAATGTGTATGTGGAATAAAATCATGGCATTTGAAGGTAAATGGATRGAGTTGGAGAATATAATGCTAAGTGAAGTTAGCCAGTCCCCCAAAACCAAATGCCAAATGTTTTCTCTGATATAAGGAGGCTGATTCTTAGTGGGATTGGGAGGGGGAGCATGGGAGGAATAGACGAACTCTAGATAGGGCAAAGGGATGGAAGGATAAGAGAGGGAACATGGGGGTAAAAAAGATGGTGGAATGAGATGGATATCATTACCTAAATACATATATGAAGACATAAATGGTGTGAATATACTTTATATACAACCAGAGATATGAAAAATTTTGCTATATATGTGTAATATGAATCATAATGCATTCTGCTGTCATATATAACAAATAATAATTTTAAAAATTTAAAACAAAACTGTGTGTGTGCTGTTTCTTTTTAAAGCTATTTATTACCTTATAATCTGTTTCCTCTCCTGAGTATTTCTGAGAATGAGACAATGACAAATTGTCCCCAAATTTAAGTAACAATAGAATACTTGGAATGCCCATAACTGCTCCAGAGAAGCTTTCTTCAGTATTATTGTAATTATTATTAGCACTAATTATAACAAGTGTTACTTTTTTAATTCATGTGATTACCAGGTATTTTACTTCATTAACATGTTAGCTAATCCTCTTACCAAGACATTATTATTCCTTTTTTAAAGATTTAAAAAAAAATAGATTTAACTTGCCCAAGGTCACATAGTTTGTGAGTGGAAAAATCAGAATTGCATTCAGGTCTSGCTGGTTCCAAAGTCTATTCTCCTACCACTGGGCAGTGAGCCTCTCATGTGTTCACCCACACACATGCCTATGACTGGCCAGACCCCCTAATCTGAGATTCTGGACCCTCAATGCTGCCAGCTCCTTACTGCTGACCCCATGACCCAACTCCAGGAGAGGATTAAATATGCAGGTGATTTAAGCTAGAACAAAAGGCAGCTCAAGAACTGGAAGGGCCTGGATGAAGGAGGAACATCATCTAGGAGCCAGGACCCACAGCTCCTGACCCCACTTTGGGCCTTGAGAAGTCCCCACAGGTCAGTTACCGCAGTTGGTTGCCTGTGAGCCACACCTTCCTCCCCAGGACTTTGCCCCCAGGACCTTCTCCAAGTTTTGCAGGTTCTAAGAATTCCAGGTTTCTTCCAGGAGCCACCAGGATAGAGAGTGAATAGGGCATTGTCACTGCTGCCCAGAGCCCAGGGCCACAGGTGAGGACACCCAGAGCAGCTGCAGTTTGGGACTCACCCTGGAAAGGCTCTGGTGACCCTTAACCACTCCCACAGCACCTCTCCTGCTTTGCCTCTAGAGCAGAACCCGAGCACACAGAGATGGAGTAGGATGCAATAGATGAGGCCATCACACCAAGGGTGAATATTGTCTGGGAAGCTGTTGTTTTACTTTTGTAAATGATTTGATACATGATTGCTACATGGCCCTGCAGGAGAATGAAGGCAGGTGATCACCTCACCTCAGGTGCCAGCTGCCTGCAGAGTGGCTGGAACTCATCAGGCCTCTCAGTTCCCATCCTGYCCACCTGGGCTGTGGGGGTTCCAGGCTGAGCCAGGCCTCTGAGCCAGGCCAGGGCCACCATCCAAACCTTCCAGCAGAGGGCTCTGTGGTCCCTGGCAGTCCCTGCATCCTCTGAGGCACTGGGACCACTGGACCCTGGAGGCTCAGCCCCTCTGGTTCCCGCAGTGSGTGATGGAGGACACAGCTCCCTCCATCCCTCCAAGACTCCCTTGCAGACCTCTCAGGAAGACAGTCATTCTCCTGCCCTCGCTCTTTGCTCCTGGCATAAGGAGACTCAGGGATAGACAACCACCCTAAAGAGGAGTAATGGGAGTCCCTACAGAGTTGCCTCTGGATATTGGAGGTGGGGCCCATCCCTGAGCCAGTTCCTACCTCACTCCCCATATGTGTGCTGGTTGTGTTCAGCTACGTAATAAATTTCCTGAACCTTAATAGCKTAAAACAAACACTTATTATCTCGGTTTCTGAGCTACAACTCAGCTAGGAAGTTTTAACCCAGGTCTCTCATGAGGGCCACAGAAGCTGTAGGCCTAGGGCTGCAGTTCTTGATGCTCCCCATAATTATTTCACCCCAAGGTGCCATTTATCCTGCAGTATGTCTGGAATCTGTCTTTAGGTTCTTGGGTTGCCTCCCAGCACTTTTGAGGTGAGGCTTCACAAAACCCCCTGAGACTCTTCTTTAGGGCAGTTATTCAACCCTGGAGTCCCCTTATGCCAGAAGCACAGTGAGGATGAGGAAATGACCATTTTGCTGAAAGATGGTACAATGCCTTATGATAGAAGTTAGAGATGGGGTGGAAGTGTCCCTGAGACAGGCACTGCCTGCTACATCCTGCTATTGGCAGAGGGATCATCCTCCTCCCTCAAAGGGGCTCAAATCCTACCCTTTCCCTCCCCAAGGCTGCTCCAGCAGGGAGTTTGTCTCCACGGAAACCTTTGAAGGTGGTGAAGGTGGCGGAGATATGGACAAGGAGAGCAGTGTGCTGAGTGTAATTATTTCCTTCTTGCATCTTTTCTAATCTCCCTCATTTCTATTCATGGGCTGCTCCTGCCCCTTCTCCCTCTCCTCTATTCCCTCTCTTCCTCATTTTTCATAATTGTCCCATCAAGACCAGGTCTAATCAGGAAGCCTAGATCACTGGACCTTCAAAGTGTCTCTGCACCCTCCCAGCCCTGCATGTCTCCACATCACTGTCTCTGGCAATGTGCTAGTTTGGGGTCAGGAGGGGCTGCAGCTGGGCACCCCAAAGGCCCAGGTGGGAGATCTGGGGTGGGAGAGGCTCAATGGGCCTTGCCGGGGCGGAGCACTGCCCCCACTGCTGACTCTGAAGTGTGTCCCTGTTCCCACCCTTACAGCTCTCAGGACTTTTCCAGTCTGAGGACAGTTATGAAACCTGTTCCCCCAAAACGGTTTCCCTGGAGAAAGGAGAAAGCACCGAGGGAGGAACAGAAGAACGTGATGAGAAGAAAGCGTGAGTGTGAAAGTTGGAAGAAAGTAAGCCGATCTGTTGCCAGGGCTTCTCTGACTTTCTTCTTGGCATTTCAGGGCATCCAGCAGCACARAGGGGCGCGCTGGGGTGTCCCCTGGCCTGGCCGTTCCTGCGGGGGAGACGACGGGTGTCCAGGAGCAGGCAGTACGGGCGATCGCAGCAAGCCCGAGATCCTCCTCCACGGAGAACTGACCCTCGTCGCAGGCTCCCTTSGCTCCGCGGCCGCCAGTGCCGTCTGCATCCCGGGGAGGGGCTGTCGTGATGCGGACGAACGCC